CTTTGATCTATTTATAGGCCTATACTACAGTAAAGCAGTGATTGGTTAGTGATCAGTTAAGCAATTAGTGTTTGCACATGTGAGGAGTGTGTGTGTGTGACCTGGTGAATAAGTGTAGCATTTTGATTGGTTGTGTTTGGAAAAGGAAAGCAAGTCACTTCCTGTTAGATTTTTGTGTTTTAGGTAGAGAATTGTGTTTTTTGTTTTGAAAAAAGTGTTTTATGCAATTGACAACTGAGTCAAAGGCTGAGAAATAGCTTATGGTTTTGGAGATTTGGTGTGTAGTTTTGCACTTTGAGTGAGAGGTTTCAAAAATCGTGTGACATGAAAAGAGTTTGTGTGTAAGCAGTTGGAAAAAACTGTAATTACTGTTGTCACATTCTGTTGCAAAATTCAACAAGTGTGTCAAGGGAAGGATACCCATACATTTAAAATAAATTGCTTGGCTCTAGATTATACCTATCTATATATACTTTACATTGTTTGCGAGATCAGACATAATATCACTATAATCCAAGTGTTATTTTCAGAAGTTGCTTTTATTTCAGCGCATCTAATTTGTAAACATTTCAACTGTATTAAATCATATATTTTTTCAATTGCACGAAAAATCAAACACCCACCAAAATAAAGTTATCTTTGTCTCTTTCTTGTGATGTAACTGTCGAGATGGTGCGTTAAATCCAGACTGAGCATAAGCGTTTTTATAGATGCAACGGAAAGCCAATGTATTCCATTGAGGCCATTTCAGCCATTACTGGAGTGTGTTTGACAAGTCATTACAAACGTTTACGTTAGCGAAAAAAATAATTGCACATGCATGAGTGGAAAATAGTCGAGAGTAAAATGAAAGCAATCAATCCAGCGAGATTTAAGTGACAAGTGGATTTTGCACCCAAATAAATGTCTGAAAGGGAGAGGAGCTCCTCAGGTGGGCGGGGCATGCGAGTTGCTACTCAATGTGTTCACTGTTGAGTAGTTTTAGTCCAATGTGTACCAGATATTGTACAGAGATTTGTCATAACAAGTTACAAGGTCAGATGGTTGTATTGTGCTGTAGTGTAAAATGTTTTTTGTATTAAGTACTTGATGTGTTTAGGCCTGTTAAATCAGTCTGTCTCAAGGATATGTGGTTCAGTGCATTGTGTTGTGTTGCAGGCCATGTGGTAATGAATCAAACCCACAACCTCTGCCATTGCAGGCTCCATGCTCCAGCCAACTGAGCCAATGGGTCTTATTTCCCTAATGACTTGTGATTGGCCTGCCAGATTAGATTCAGCAATTGTGGCCAAGGATTTTAATTAAACCTGGGTGATGAATGTGACCCGGCCGGCTGGGTGCTATGACAGCCGTCCTGTTGTTCTGTCAGCAGGGCTGCTATGTTTCACACACTGCTGTTGGGTCTCTGATACCATTATTTCATACATTTATTTTAATTCAGTTCCACTGATTTAATAAAATAATGTTTTTTTAGGTGCTGTTGCATACTTGTTGACTTGATTGTATTGTTGATAGTGGGATTGCATGGAACTCAATCAAATCTTTAAATTGATTGTTTTAGCATAGACCAAGACCATTCAATTCATAAGGTGTATGTGGAGAATTCAAGTGTTATGACTTTAAAAACTATAGTTAGCTATGAATAGACAGCCTCAAACTGTCTGGGCTTGGTTTTACTGTGTGTGTGTGTGTTCCCTAGCTCTTCTCCTCCAGCCCAACGATGCCCTGGTCTGCAAGCTCCGTGCTGATGTCAGAGGCCACATGGGCTTGACTGACAAAGCGGTGGAAGACTACAGAACAGCAGTGGAACTCAAAGTCACTGGAGGGCTGAGATGAGCCATCCCCATAGTAGTGGTACTGTACCGTCTGTCTCCATATGACGCTACTCAAATCAAATCAATGTTTTTTGTATTAAGTACTTGATTTGTTTAGGCCTGTTAAATCACTCTACACGACAGGTTCAGACCTACTGGTTATGGTTGACAGTAAAGATATGCTGTCAATCAAAATGGATACTTTGTGATATTGTGCATAGGAATCTTTATTTTTTGTATTTTTTTGTTACATGTTTAATGTAACTTCCATGACATTGCATTTGAGTGTTTCAAGAGTCATGTTTGATGTGCAATCCTGTCTTAAGTGCAGGTGCATTTACTGTGGGTGTTTTGAAAAAACACTTATAGCTGATATACTGCTTGAAAAAATAGATATTGCTTCGTGCCAAGTTCAATATCTAACTTCATTAATCCCCATTGAGTAGTTGGAAACAGCTTGCAGTGACAGTGATTGAATCAGAGAGAGACCATTTTGTCTCAGCATACACAGTATCCCAACAAACAAACACATTGTATTTCATTGGCTTTGGAGCTCTTTCCCAGTGAAATAACTGGTTTATTTCTTGCCCATCCAAATCAGCTGAGTCAGTCATCATAAAACATGAGCTAGAGAGATGAGTAGGAGGCCTATGGAGTATGAAAAACACCTGCCAAATGAACCGGTGTGCATCCAGGAGGGAGCGAGAGATAGGAGTCTGTTCCACTCACATACTGAGACGGTGTATGTGTGCGCTGCTTGTTGCATTTCAAGGGCAATCATGCAGTCATTCTCTGAGAACAATGCTAGCAAAAATGATATGGCTGACCCAACTGAATGCAGTGTGTTTCTCAGTGGCGACCCGTCATTCAGGGCAGGTACTAAAACGTATTGCCTGTTTTGCATGTAATTTTGGCATTAATACATGTCACATATCAGTTTGCAAACAATGTAAAAAATAAATAAATCATTGAGTTAATAAAGCCGCATACAAACATGGTCTCTTTTTTTGCTTTCTTGAGTAAGGCAGCACGTGTTTCAGCCTAGCTCAGTGCTTTCTGTGGTGGTGGGGCAGCCAGCGGAAAATACGGAGCGTAGGGGGTGGTAATGTTCTCTAGTTGCGCCGTGATTGGCTCAGTGTTCTGTCACTCATTCGGACACTACATCACCGCCAAATCTAAGGGTAGAGCTCGAAAATTCAAGCCCCTTGGGTGCTGCCATAGTTACATTAACAGTGCCCATCTAAGAAGGCTCAAGGTCATTGGCCACAGATAAAATGACGTCAAATCACGTTATATCTACAGTAGCTTTGTTTGGACTGATCATGTCAACATACTTTCAAAATCTTAGCTAGCAGTCATGAATCAAGTTGACAATCTACTGGCAAATCCTTTTTAATCCTTGTCATATGAAGAGAAATTATGAAGAGAAATTATAAATAAAACTTATCGGTGCTCGTTGGCCATTGGACATAAACATTACACAACAAGTTGGAAATTGCAAATTCAACAATGATTGGTTTGGAAGGAATCAGTGGATAACTGCAAGCATTGCAATGCAATCACTAGCCTGCTATTCAGTGGAGTGGCTGTGTGGTCTCAAGTCTGGGTTCAAGGGTCTCTTTTCCAAGCTTAAAATGATAAACATTCAGCATTGGCCATGCTGTCAATCCAGCATGATTTCTGCCGCGCTCAAAACAACTTAACTCGGAACTGGGAAATCTGACTTCAGTGAGTTCAAGACAACTGTTAACTCGGGGGAAAAAAGAGCTCGGACTGGGAAAATATGTTTTGAACAGTCATCCAACTCGGAATTGTAAATCGGGAACTCGGGCCTCTTTCTAAAGCTACAACCTGAAGGTCACTGACATCATTATGATTCGACCTTGTTTTTTCAGAGTTCCCAATTGTCTTGAAAGCACCATAAATCCAGAGAATGACAGACTTTAAGGTCAAAATTTGCCCACCAACGACCGCTGTGCCACCTTCCTGTTCAAGTGAGCACAGCACAAAAAGGTGAGTCCAAAAAGGTATTGTATGCTGCTGCATAAATGATGTAATATGCCAGGGAGATATGTATACTGTAGCTAAGAAAGTAATACTAAGTGTATGTGTAGTAAGCTGTTAGTAGCCCATGTGCCTCACCCTAATAACTTTGTCAACACAGATATTGCATTTAACTTTCCTCATGAAACTGTATTTACTTACTTTGATTTTCAGTCCTAGAGCAGGGAGTGTCGCGAGTACTGCAGGATTCTGTTCCAACTAGGCACCACACCTGACCCACTGAGCTAATTGATCAGTTCAATGATTGACTAAATTCAACACACCTGGTCTTCCAGGTCGGTTTTAAGGAAAAGCATGAAGCGCATGCAGCACTACAGGATCAGGGTTACCTACCCCGTCTCTAGAGTGAGTCTCTAATCTGTTTGTGTACCAGAGGGCCATACTGTGATCTGAGTATGACGCACTTCCATTGACTTTATTAATTAAACATTAATTAAAAAATAACACTGGCTTATTTGAAATTATCTGTGACATTCCCCCATGACGTGGAGATTATTTGTGATTTTCTCGTCTGTAATAATTATAGTTGGTATGACAGCTCACCTATTTCAAAATGAAGACTCTATTTGTGCTCTGTAGCCTACACATGCCAGGTATGCTTTTTGATTGTCATTTTAAGATGAAAATCCAAGGAAGATGACACATCATTGTTGTTAAATATCACAATATGTCAAAACACAATGTATGCAGTTGTATTAGTCTCATACATTTTCAATAGTGCTGAGTGTGTTTTGATTTAATTGTGAAATTGCTGATATGAAGAAAACTAGTGGAAACATTTAACTATTGTGCTTTGTCATCAAAAGACAAGGCTCTGCAGCAATTTACCAATCAATCAGTTGAAATTGAATGTGTGTTTTGACGTTCAACGACATTTCTATTTCAGATTACAGTGGTGTATATAGATTAGGATCTAGCCTATACCCACCGTTACGTCATTTTACGACGTCTGAAGCTGCGTCTCTCAAATGACTACAGCATTCGCAGCTATCCATGGTCCTGAAACGCACCGTCTGCGCGCTGCACCACCGATCAACTGCGGTGAGGAGATGGGTTATCTGGACAGTAGCACTGTCTGAGAAGGGTTATTTAAGATAATTTTTAAGAGAAAAAACGGCCAAAATGCTCCTTAACAGCTCTTTCAGGAATCTAACACTGGAGGACGGGTTTTCCCCAATAAACAACTCGTCTGGGAACGGAACGTACAGCGAGTCTCACGGCAGCGCTATCCTCATCTCCTTCATTTACTCCGTTGTCTGTTTGGTCGGACTATGCGGGAACTCTATGGTTATCTATGTCATTTTCAGATATGCCAAAATGAAAACGGCAACAAATATTTACATTCTGAACTTGGCCATCGCGGACGAGTTACTTATGCTGAGTGTCCCCTTCTTGGTGACATCTTCACTCCTTCATCACTGGCCTTTCGGCTCCCTTCTCTGCCGACTTGTTCTAAGTGTTGACGCTATTAATATGTTTACGAGTATTTACTGCTTAACTGTACTTAGCATAGACCGATATATTGCGGTTGTGCACCCCATCAAAGCCTCCCGGTACAGGAGACCCACAATAGCTAAAATAGTCAACTTTGGGGTTTGGATGTTTTCTATCCTGGTAATTTTGCCCATTATTATATTTTCCACGACCGTTCCAAACTTGGACGGTTCGCTCGCTTGCAACATTCAGATGCCAGAGCCAGTGAACCAGTGGATGGCTGTGTTTGTGATTTATGCCTTTCTCATGGGCTTTCTGTTCCCAGTCATTGCGATCTGTATGTGTTACATCCTCATCATCGCCAAGATGAGAGTGGTGGCAATGAAGGCAGGCTGGCAGCAGCGTAAGAAGTCGGAGAGAAAGATCACTCTGATGGTGTTGATGGTGGTGACTGTGTTTGTCATCTGTTGGATGCCCTTTCACATTGTGCAGCTCGTTAATGTCTTTGTGGAGCACCATAACGCAACACTCATGCAACTCGCAGTGATTTTGGGGTACGCAAACAGCTGCGCCAATCCTATACTGTATGGATTTTTATCAGACAATTTCAAACGTTCGTTCCAAAGAATTTTGTGCCTGCGGTGGATGGACAATGCAACGGAGGAATCAATAGATTACTATGCCACGGCTCTGAAAAGTCGTGGTTACAGTGTGGATGAATTTCAACCGGACAACATGGAATGTGACAGCACTTATAGAAATGGAATCTGCACTTCGAGGACAACGACACTGTAGCCTAGCATATGGACATAAAGTGATGAAACGCTATGAACAAAATCATAAATGTGACCACTGAGTGTTTCGCTCATTAGGCCTACTAGTCTGTTACTTCGGTATTTATTAGTTTTGTTTTCTTGCAACTATTTATATGAACTGAATTAAAATGTTGACTAATCAAAATGTCTTATTATTGTTTGTATCTTTGCAATGTGGATTCAGGTGGCACTGTGCGTAATAGTCCTCCAATTATGACAAGTAGCATACAGAGCAGAAACAGACTGGCAGTGTAGTGACATTATTTCCACTGTGAGCCAGAGGTGTGTTGAAGTTGAAGTCACAAATATGATGACCTGAGACTGGACTTGATAGAAAATACAATAACTTGAGACTTGACTTCAACTTGGAGCCTCAAGACTCGGGACTCGACTTTGACTTGAGACTGATTACTTGAAATTATCTAACGTTTTGTCACTCATTTTGTGAGTCTCCATGGATTAGTCTACTCTCCACGCAGCCAGAGACAGCATCACACTTGAAAAAAATATATTGGCTTGTGAAACGCACACTCCGCCCTCTCTCTGATTGGACCAACTGTCAATCAACACAGGTCGGATGAGCTAGCGCAGTGAGAAGGTTTTGGGGGGTCGCGAGTGTGAAACTGAATGGGAATATATATTTAAATAGGCTACATATAGTCTACCATTTGTATTTTATATCAATATCTTTGATTATTCGATCTGGTCACTAACATAGGCCTACAGCATTGAACCAAATGTTTGTTTCTAAAACACCTCATCTATGCTTCAGAACCAAAACGTTGTGCATTTTGACTGTTGACCAGTCATCAGCATTGGCGCGCAAAGACGGGCTCACATATCCAGATCAGTGACCAGAAAGCGCTTGTTTCATTTTCTCCGGTTTTGCTAGGCAAAAATAGAGTAGCCTACCTAAGTGTTGTGATAATTGCGTTGTTTGCTCTATGACCTGTTAGTTCATAGGCCTATATATCATGGTGTCAAGGCATAAGGCCAAGACAATAAGAAGACAGTGGCAGAATAAATTCAAACACACATTTGCTTCATTACAAACGCAGAGTGCAACATCTGTCAGGTGAAGTCCTGTAGGGTAACATGGGGTAAGACGCCCCACTAAGATCAGTGTCTAATTGCTGACCAAAAAAAAGCAAAGTTTGGAAAACACACATGTAGGTCAATGATGGCCATGCTTAGGGTAACAAACTATAAAAGAAAATAAATAAATACATATTCTATTGGGGGCAACTTGTGCCATGGGGTTTCACAGAAGTGTCCCTATTTTTTACCTCACCTGCACATAAATGATCTTTCTTCTTTTTACCTTTTCCTTACACTCCATTATGTAGCCTACAGTTAAACTAAACTCATTATCATTTGAATAAAGCAATATTTTAAATCCCAGCAGTCTTTAAAATGAAATTCAAGAGCAAACAGTTTTCAATAGTTTGTAATGTTGTAATTCATTGGAATATAACTGATTAAATATTGATTACACACACACACACTAAACATTTGATAACAGTGGTGGCGCCTCAGGGTTTTGGGTGGCACATTAAAAGCATGGGCAGCTGCCTTAATGTCCTTCCCATTTCAATACCATTCAGGGCACAATGAAGCGCCTCTTCGCCATAGCCACCACGATCAGATATTTTCTTGTAAACTCTCATCTGAAAAGAAAAAAAGGAAAAGTATTTTAGGAACAGTGGAGAATTGACCCCTAATCTAACCCTAACCCTAACTCCTACTATGACCCTAACATAACCCTAACCCCTATTCTAATCCTAACCCTGGCCCCTATTCTAACTCTGACCCCTAACCCTAACCCTAATCCTGCTAATTGAGGGTTAGCTAGCTATGCTAGCAGACGTTACCTTATGCTAGCTAGCTGGCTAGCATTTATTTCACCTCAGACTTTCTGCTAGTGAGGTTGCTAGGGGCACTGTTTAGTTTGCTGGGATGCCTTTCTCCAGTGAGATACATTTCCTTCAATTTACAAGAGGCTGAATGTACGAAACACAAAGGCTGCACTCCAAACACATTCTTTTTACCCCCTCAGCCCTCGCCCTAGACACTTTCTCTTGGGGGCATCCCCGTCGAAACTGGATGCAGTTTGATTGCCATTTTAAGTTGAGGTCCAATTCGATAAAGTTGCCCACTCCGCTCTCAATTTAGCTCGAGGGAGCGAGTGAAGAACTATGATCACTTGTGGGGTTAATATGATCACAATTCAATGCAAACTGTAGTCAAGTGTCATACTCTGGTGTAAAATGTAATCAACAAGGCTGCATTTCCGGCATGTCAGACAAAATTCTGAAGCTAGCTTGCAAAAAATATATATAGATGACATTGATTTTAGCGTTGGCAAATTGGCTTAGTCTCGTAGTGAGGACCCTATAAAATGTAGCTAGCTTCATAAACATATTTTGGGGAATTCTGAAATGTATTGGAATAAATTACCAAACTATAAAACTACCTAGCCAGCTATGGGTAACTGTAGCTTACTAGCTCGCTACCTGACAGGAGTGTTAGCTAGCTACGTTAGCTTGCTATGCATATTCATAGCTTTAGGTTGGTTGTTTTTAAGCTCAATTTCAAGATTTCCACCAAGGACGTTGCCTCTCCGATCATCACTCTGCCTCGCTTGGGCAAGGGACATTTAAAGGTACACTCGGATGTGACGATATAAAACGTAATTCAAAGGCTGAGGATTTAGGGCTGAGGGCTGTCTACTTTGAATTTGGACTGCTGCCAGCAACAGGGCCGGCGTTATGGGGAGGCCTGGCCCGCCCTACCGTACGTCCTTGCCTGTCCAAATAAAATATTGAAATATTGATCATTTATTTGACCGAGACGCGCGCCGACAGAAAGACGCATCAATCTCAGTTAAAGCATTCGAACGAGCGAAACAGCGCATCTCTGTCTCAGCATGTGTTGACCATGTATCTGATGCTGTCTGGTTCAAAAGAGTATGGCATGTCATACTATTTCTGTCCAGACAGCATCAGATACATGGGCTTACATATAGAGGGCCGCTGTTTCGCTCGCTCGGATGCTTTCTCCTGTGATATAGTTTCAGCAGAGAGGAAGAGGCAAAGCAAGAGGGCTTACTCTCGCCAAACTCTGTCCAGTATAAACCCAATGCGTTTATATGGGAATACATGTAGACCTAAGGTTGTCGCCTTCCTTCCTGCCTTTGGGAAAAAGACTCCCGTTGTTAGGGCGGAGACATGAGCATCTCGTCATTATATACAGCTCTTGGGTTTCAGCCTCTTGCGAATTGAAAAGAAAAGTTGGCGCAACGTTTATTGCCCTAAAGTAAATTGACGTTTCGCCAAAATTATATTATTAGGCCTACTCCTGTCTAAATAAAATCATTCAAAATACTTAACCAGGGACCATGACTTAGACACAGAGGATCACTAGCTTCTTTAAAAAAAATAGCTGTGTATTGTTTCAAATCACAGGTGTGTTTGGGAAGTCTGCAATTTGGGTAGTGCGCGAGCTGATTGAGTAGTGGCTGTCAGTGAAAAGCGTCTAAAATATGTGTGAAAACAATGTGTCTTGAGTATAATTTAAAATGTTCCATCAAGAAGAAGGGGTGTGGCGAATATATGGTGCGTCTCCAGAATGCATGCATATGTAGGAAAATACCCATTTGGCAATGTCTTATTTCTGATTGTCTTAACTCACCACGTACACAACTCATTATTTCTTCGCCTCACACAAGTCAACAATGTCTGGGGTTTTTTAACATCCATTGCGAATGATGGTTCCTCAGTGTTTGACCATGTGATGATTTGATACGATGTTGAACTTCACTAGCAATAGTCAAGACAGATAGAAAGGGAGGCAGACAGGCGGAGAACCGGCATTTATCATGATATTTTCTACTGTTTTTATTTGTCGGCTTTAGGCCTATATGTATTTGACTTAGTTGATGATTGGACATATAGGCCTACTGCTGCATTGGCCTATAGGCTGTCTCTGAGTTATATGTTCTCATTTCTTTAGCCGCCAATGGATCACAGTGAATCAATGTGTCCATATTGCAGAGGCTAGTGCTCTCGGCATAGTCGAAGTTTAACTTTTAATTTGTGTCATTTTACTTCACATTTGTATGATTAACCACGTGACAATGATTTTGAGAAACGAAAACGTTATTATTGAAATGAAACTGTTTCACGAACATTTTCATATATATACATATTCATAACTGGCACGCAGATCGGTAGAAATGGTAGGATAAATTGTAAGCTTCGCCAAACATGAAACTCATGAGCTGCCTATGCTCTTTACTATTACACCCATTTAAAACTATGTGCAAGCGCGTTCACACATTGGAGGTCCAGTGAAAAAACGGGCCGCCTATGGAAATCAAATGCCCGTCCAACTGATTCGTTCTAGCGCTGGGTCTGCACAGAGAGACGAAAGATAAATTATTGTTTCTTTTTTCCTGGTACATTTTTCAGGAAGATTGGCTTCCCTTGGCATCCATTAATACAAGCCACTGCCCAGATCTCAGAACTTTTTGGTAGTGGATTCTTCTTTCATAACCCATTAAGGTCCTCATCTTAAAAAATACCTAAAGTACAAATGTCTATCTGGGTTCAGCCATAAGGTTCTATCTGACACTTTTGAATTAGACATGTTCAGTATTTAAGAAGACTGTAGCTATTTGAATACATAAATGATAGAATAACACTTTTACCAAGATAGTCAGAACACATCATCAAATACATTAGGAAATGTATTATGAGCATCAGACAAATTACTGTCATCACTGAACAATGATGTGACAACATCATTACTTTAAGATGTTTTTTTAAATTGTTCCTTGTGTGCCATTATTGCTAGCTAGATTAGCCTAGACCAGTGGTTCCCAACTAGGGGTACTAGGACCTCTGGATGTACTTGGCCTATCCACAGGGGGTACTTGAGAAGACTCATGAGACCATAGGCCTACTGGTAAAATGCACATGAGGGGGTACTTCTGGAGTACTCCGGGCAGAGCAAAATTCAGTTGGTGGTACAGTAATCGAAAAAGGTTGGGAACCACTGGCCTAGACCATACATAGAGTGAGATGGCAAAGACATGTCTTGTGATTGGTCTGTCTGGATTTGTTCAGGCTTGTGATTGGATTGCAGATAGAACCTTATAGCACCAAGTTCTAATGGGTTAATGCAGATATAACTTTCTAGTTTTTCATTTCTTTCACTTAAAATTCACAGACATATGTAGAACCATCTAAAGATATATTATTTGTGACTAACTCATTTTTGACAAAAATATCAGATAGAACCTATAGTCCCAAGGTCTCGATTTGTAGTTGAACAAGTCATTGCATGTATAGATTTTTTTCACTTGACTTGAACTTGTGTCTTGACTTGCTCTTAATATGTATGACTTGGACTTGACTCGAGATTTGACCCACTCTACTTGGGACTCGACTTGAGACTCGGACCTTGTGACTTGAGACTTGCTTGTGACTTAAATAATAGTGACTTGGTCCCGCCTCTGGTGTGAGCACATACAAAAAAAGTGTTCAACCCTGCTGCCTATGATTAATTTATTCCAGATTTCTTGGAGAGTAAAAGGAGATGGATGCACAGTTCAAATTCAGATTTATGCTCAGTCTCTATGATTCATTATTCATTGTGCAAGTTCAAGTTAAAACAGCAGCAGTGAGTTTAGCTTTTAAATCTCTCAGGCAGAGAGCAACAGGAAAACTTGTTTACCATTGGCAAAACGACCACATCCTGCTCCGCAGTCCTCTCTTTGGTGCATATCTACTCAGTCCTCTGTAGGCTAGAAGATAAACCTGCCCACAGTGTCTGTTTACTCATAATTAATTCATCCTTTATTTTCAATTATAATAAAATCATTCCTTTTAAAATCAGTTGATTTATTGACAAGATATGGTCTTTCTTTTGAACTGAGAAAGAACTAGGTTAATATGGGCTCAACATTTTAAGCCATGGGCAGAGGCTATGATCTTTTATATCAGGACTAGAGACTTCCAAAATACTGAAACATCAAATTAATGTCACGCCCTGACTCAGGGGACTCTTATATGTTGAGTCAGGGTGTGTATATTCTTTGTTGTGTATGTTCTATGTTATAGGATCTAGTATGTGTGGATCTATGTTGGCCGGTGTGGTTCCCAATCAGAGGCAGCTGTAGCTCGTTGTCTCTGATTGGGGATCATACTTAGGCAGCCTATTGGCACTAGTGGGTTGTGGCATCTTGTTAAGGTTTGTTGTATCTACCTTAGGACTTCACGTTTCGTTTCGTTTCGTTTCTTGTTTTGTCGTTGTGTTTATTAAGTTAAATAAACATGGACGTATATCACGCTGTGCCTTGGTCTGTCCCGTCATTCAACCAACGTGACAATTAATCTTCATATGTTACATGATGCCTTATATATGCGCACACAAACCACATATATACACACAACAACATTTTAATAAGTAAATAAATATAAAGGCCTAGCAAATATTATGAAGAAATGTGAGCCCACATACAAATCCTCAAAATAAAATAATATCCAAAGCCTTCATTTTCTCTACTGCAGAGAAAATTAACATTATATTGTCTAAGTAGTGGTCAATCCTAACTATGAAGACATTTTATTCAAGTGCTTATTGACAACTAACTGTAAGGTAGTGATGAGTCTGAACTGAAATCAGACTTACACTACCAGTCAAAAGTTTGGACACACCTATTAATTCAAGGGTTTTTCTTTATTTTTAATATTTTTTACATTGTAGAATAATAGTGAAGACATCAACACTATGAAATAACACATATGGAATCATGTAGTAACCAGAAAAGTGTTAAAAAAATCAAAATATATTTTATATTTGAGATTCTTCAAATAGCCACCCTTTGCCTTGATGACAGCTTTGCACAGGCTTGGCATTCTCTCAACCAGCTTCATGAGGTAGTCACCTGGAATGCATTTCAATTAACAGGTGTGCCTTCTTAAAAGTTAATTTGTGGATTTTCTTTCCTTCTTAATGCATTTGAGCCAATCAGTTGTGTTTTGACAAGGTAGTGGGTATACAGAAGATAGCCCTATTTGGTAAAAGACCAAGTCCATATTATGGCAAGAACAGCTCAAATAAGCAAAGAGAAACGACAGTTATCATTACTTTAAGACATGAAGGTCAGTCAATACGGAACATTTCAAGAACTTTGAAAGTTTCTTCAAGTGCAGTCGCAAAAACCATCAAGCGCTATGATGAAACTGGCTCTCATGAGGACCACCACAGGAATGGAAGACCCAGAGTTACCTCTGCTACAGAGGATAAGTTCATTAGTTACCAGCCTCAGAAAGTGCAGCCCAAATAAATGCTTCACAGAATTCAAGTCACAGACACATCTCAACATCAACTGTTCAGCGGGGACTGTGTGAGTCAGGCCTTCATGGTCGAATTGCTGCAAATAAACCACTACTAAAGGACACCAATTAGAAGAAGAGACCTGCTTGGGCCAAGAAACACGAGCAATGGACATTAGCCAGTGGAAATTTGTCCTTTGGTCTGGAGTCCAAATTTGAGATTTTTGGTTCCAACCGACGTGTCTTTGTGAGACGCGTTATGGGTGAACGGAAGATCTCCACATGTGTAGTTCCCACCGTAAAGCATGGAGCAGGTGGTGTTATGGTTCTTTGCTGGTGACACTGTCTGTCCTTCACTTGGACAACAGAGTGAAGGAAAATCAGCCAACAAATGCTCAGCGTATGTGGGAACACCTTCAAGACTGTTGGAAAAGCATTCCAGGTGAAGCTGGTTGAGAGAATGCCAAGAGTGTGCAAAGTTGTCATCAACAAAAAGGGTGGCTATTTGAAGAATCTCAAATATAAAATATATTTTGATTTGTTTAACACTTTTTTGGTTACTACATCATTCCATATGTGTTATTTCATAGTTTTGATGTCTTCACTATTATTCTACAATGTAGAAAATAGTACAAATAAAGAAAAACCCTTGAATGAGTAGGTGTGTCCAAACTTTTGACTGGTACTGTATATATTGTCAATTTAAACGTTCAGGTTGTCTGAGTCTTTGCTGTGTTCTCCGTTCAAACTTCTGCTTAAATTGCCTCCTTCTCATTTGTGTTTTCCAGGGAGTATTTTTCCGTTGAGGCCTCTGCCCTCTTCATTGCCATTTTCTCTGCATTTTTCATGGCCAGTTTCTGCAATCGCCTCCTGAGACAGCACTTAACAATAGCCAACACCACGACCACCAGAACAACCAAGGCCATCACTGCTATCAGCACGGGTATGAAGATTTTGTCTTGTTCTCCACTCTTGTCCACTGTCTCAACGTCATCCGTAGGGGAAGTGGGAGTGGGTTGGTCCGGCAGAAAGATGATAATAGGCCTCTCCTGAATTGTTGGCTTGGGAGTTGGAGTGTGGTCTTGGACCAAATAGGTTTCACTTCCTTCAGGAGTAACGGTAGCTACTGGTAGTTCATTGCATGACACTGAGCCCTTGTCTTGAAGATTTCCATTTTTATCACGGCATTTACAGAGGTAAGAACCCTCAGTGTTGACACATTGGTCTTTACAGGGCTGATCTCTGCATTCGTCAATGTCCACACAGTTTCCAGACCCATCTCTCATATAACCTGCTTTGCACGAAGCACAAATGCCATCTATAGCCGATCGATCGTCACGTTTCCATGTCAGAGTCGTTGCAGAGCAAGTCAGTTCAAACAATTCCCCAGACCAACATTCTAGCTCCAGTTTATGAGGATAATTTGGGTTTGGCCTGAGTGATCGGGCCTCAGGTATGTGTGGGGTAGGACACTGGTCCATGGAAAGCATCTTTCCATCACGTTGTTTACAAATGAATGGATGCTTTGTCTTACAGGTACTGGGAACAAACCCCCAGTTCACTATCTCAGTTCCATTAAACTCACCGTAGAGAAATACACAGAGTATACCCGTGCAGGTTGGTTGGGGCAAAGACTTCCACTGATCCAGTTCTGTGTCACTGCTGCTGTCCACTGTCCACTTGAAACCATTCAGAGATGTGTCATTTTTCACACAATCCCACTTTCCTTTCCTCAAACCCACCCAAAACTCAAATGTACCTTCTATGGAATGCATGTTCGTGATGACTTTTAAAATCTTTGAGGCTTCCTCCATACTGGCCACTTTAGTTAGGAAACTGTCAGGCAGACAGGCTTCTAAAGCTTTGTCGAAGTTGAGAGGATTCAGATGAAGAGTATAGTGTTCATCATCAGTAACACACAGACCCACCCCCAAGACGCTCCACAGGCATATCCAGTAGTACTCCATTCTCCCCGCTCGCATCAATTGATCTGACGACAGTGGTTCTCAGTCAGACTGATGATGGTCCTCCTGCTAGCTGCTTCTGTAATGGACTGGCTGACGATGCTCATTTTCCTGCTACTTTCTTAGCTGCCCCTGAGAGGTCCTCCCAAGACAACAAGCACAGGAAGTGTGCTTAGACTTGATACAGCCATCCACTTCCTCTGCAGAGGGGGTGGTGGCATATCCAAACAATAGCAACTTTTAAATTAATTATCTTTGTCATAAAAGTACACAGCAGACTTAGGTCCAAGGCCTGGCAGGTGAGTTGTGAGAAAAATACACACATGTACTCCAGGTCATATCAGCATAATAACTCCAGTAATTGAAATCCTTTGGCTCTTTGATAATATTTCCCCATGAGATCACCAGGCCATCTTCACTTTTTGTTGTGGGAGATGCAGGAAGTTTTCCTTCACAGAAAAGGCTAGCAAAATAAAGAAAATAACCAGTGTCACAAATGGGTGCTGAGATCCAACTTGAAAAACAGAACTTGTGAGAGGATATGCCAGCCTGCTGATACTGTCCTGGTATCAGGATGTGATGATAAAAGCAGACGTATGATTCATTCCCTCAGGGAATAGACCCCTCGCTAATGTTTGTTTTTTATCAACCCTAAAACACGAAACTCAGAAAGTCATTGTGTCATTGTATAACAACTTGACTTTGTAAGGCATTCAGGAGGGACCCTCACTTGGGATATACAGAGTATTCCATGACTATTATTTAGGTTTTACGGCAGTGTTTCTTTGTCAGAGAAAAGCAGATGCTTCCTGGGGAAGTGCCAGAGAATGGCAGGAAGAGAGGCTGAGGTGGTGTGCATTTCTACAGCACAGTTCAGATAGGAGAGGACCTTGTCCACAGCCTAATCTCAGACAGGAGAGGACCTTGTCCACAGCCTAATCTCAGACAGGAGAGGACCTTGTCCACAGCCTAATCTCAGACAGGAGAGGACCTTGTCCACAGCCTAATCTCAGACAGGAGAGGACCTTGTCCACAGCCTAATCTCAGGCAGGAGAGGACCTTGTCCACAGCCTAATCTCAGACAGGAGAGGACCTTGTCCACAGCACATCTCAGACAGGAGAGGACCTTGTCCACACACCTCAGACAGGAGAGGACCTTGTCCACAGCACAACTCAGACAGGAGCAGTCCAAGGGACACAGAGAGGGAAGGGTCCGGGGTCAGGGAACCAAAGGAAATGGAATTCTGAATGCACAGGAAAGGAGTCACCCCAAAAGCCATCAGAGAGCGAGAACAAGGGAACAAGGGAGTGAAGTCACACTTCCTTTTGGCTACTTACTGTGAAAATGTATGGGAACTCCACTCAGGTTTTAATTAACGCTTTCCATTTAAGACAGAAAAAAGAAACAACCCTGTCGTGTACTTCAGACTGTATGGTTTGAGTGTGATTTGCAAAGGATTGTGGGTAGAGGATTTGTATCATCATTTGCATTCCCACTCCCTACAGTGACCAACCACACAGTCCTTCAGGGGAGGAGGCAACTGTCTCTGCCGTGGTGGATGGAAATCTGCCACGGTACCCCTGCCAAACATCATCCGGTCGAAGGACCATGAAAAATTAACCCAAGATAGGTAACTGGGTGGATAGATGTCTCCAGAGGTACTCCGCTCCGGTCAGAGAGCAAGCAGACGACAGAGACAGTGCCATAATTTACATATTTATTGGTTGGACGTGGTAAAGGTGTGTGATCCTGAAACAAAGGAGCGACAACATGAGCAGGTTGCATAACATAAAAGCTAATGTTGATAAGGATAAAGCTATTAAAACATATCTCAAATGATGAAAATAAGGGAATTCTATGACATTGTTAGGTAATGACAACTACAATATATATGGAAAATAGGAAACAAACTTACTCTTAACTTGAACGCACACAACTGGAAAGACATTTAGGAAAGGTGTGAATGAGCCTATCAGGGCAGTCCTGATAATTAGTGACAAGTTTGTGGCATTGAGAGTGTCAACAGGTGAAGTCAATTTGGTTGATCAAGTTCCATCTCAGCAGTATGCTGCACCACTGAACGCTTTTGTACAATACCAGTAACACCCCTTGGAGTATTGTGTCAGTGCAATGTCCTTCATCTTATCCTCCTAAAAGCCAATTTATGCTTGATCTGAAAATTTGGTCGGAGGCTTCGTATGGAGAGTGTGATGCAATTGAGGAGCCTCCGGAGGCATGCAGAGGCCAAATCAAGCTCCTTACCGCATCGCCGTGCACTTCTCAAATGTTGTAGCCCTCTGCATTGTTACTTATAGCTCCGCATTGACATGATTGGTGGATGGTAGGTGGGGGCGGGAGGTCCTGTATAAACACAAACTCACTTCCTTGACAACTTCTTTCACAATAACTCTGCTCTGCGAAGCGCAAGAAGTATGAAAACCCTGACTTCTGCGGAGGCTGCATCACAGTAAATGCTGTACGGCCACTTCAGACTCCAGATTGACCATGCAGAGCCTTTAACACACTGCTGTAATTGAGGACCTCTGGATCGTTAGCTGATGGCAGTTCCACTCATACAATTAGGATAATTATTATTATATTTCTATGGTTTTACTTTGTGGGAGTCATGACGCCAAATGTCGAATTATGATATTAAAGTAATGCACGCTACCTACACAACGCTTCTGAAGACTATTGTAGCAATTTTTTTGTGAACACCAATTCATGTAGCAATACAATGAGTGGTTGAATGATCCAGTACCACTTCAGGTCATTTGTTTTCAGGTTGTTTTATTTTTCAATGTTTATTCAAGAAAACGTACAGTACACTTGATGGTTGCTCCAAACTGTCCCCCTATTTTTATACCCCCACCCCCGCCCCGCATGTCAAAAATGTTATAAATTGATTTGCATTTCAATGAGGGAAAAAAGTATTTGATCCCCTGCTGATTTTGTAAGTTTGCCCACTAACAAAGAAATGATCAGTCTATAATTTGAATGGTAGGTTTATTTGAACAGTGAGAGACAGAATAACAACAAAAAAATCCAGAAAACGCATGTCAAAAATGTTATAAATTGATTTGCATTTGAATGAGGGAAATAAGTATTTGACCCCCTCTCAATCAGAAAGATTTCTGGCTCCCAGGTGTCTTTTATACAGGCAACGAGCTGAGATTAGGAGCACACTCTTAAAGGGAGTGCTCCTAATCTCAGTTTGTTACCTGTATAAAAGACTCCTGTCCACAGAAGCAATCAATCAATCAGATTCCAATCTCTCCACCATGGCCAAGACTAAAGAGCTCTCCAAGGATGTCAGGGACAAGATTGTAGACCGACACAAGGCTAGAATGGGCTACAAGACCATCGCCAAGCAGCTTGGTGAGAAGGTGACAACAGTTGGTGCGATTATTCGCAAATGGAAGAAACACAAAAGAACTGTCAGTCTCCCTCGGCCTGGAGCTCCATGCAAGATCTCACCTCGTGGAGTTGCAATGATCATGAGAACGGTGAGGAATCAGCCCAGAACTACACAGGAGGATCTTGTCAATGATCTCAAGGCAGCTGGGACCATAGTCACCAAGAAAACAATTGGTAACACACTACGGCGTGAAGGACTGAAATCCTGCAGCGCCCGCAAGGTCCCCCTGCTCAAGAAAGCACATATGCACGCCCATCTGAAGTTTGCCAATGAACATCTGAATGATTCAGAGGAGAACTGGGTGAAAGTGTTGTGGTCAGATGAGACCAAAATCGAGCTCTTTGGCATCAACTCAACTCGCTGTGTTTGGAGGAGGAGGAATGCTGCCTATGACCCCAAGAACACCGCTTTGGGGGTGTTTTTCTGCTAAGGGGACAGGACAACTTCACCGCATCAAAGGGACGATGGACGGGGCCATGTACCGTCAAATTTTGGGTGAGAACCTCCTTCCCTCAGCCAGGGCATTGAAAATGGGTCGTGGATGGGTATTCCAGCATGACAATGACCCAAAACACACGGCCAAGGCAACAAAGGAGTGGCTCAAGAAGAAGCACATTAAAGTCCTGGAGTGGCCCAGCCAGTCTCCAGACCTTAATCCCATAGAAAATCTGTGGAGGGAGCTGAAGGTTTGAGTTGCCAAACGTCAGCCTCGAAACCTTAATGACTTGGAGAAGAACTGCAAAGAGGAGTGGGACAAAATCCCTCCTGAGATGTGTGCAAACCTGGTGGCCAACTACAAGAAACATCTGACCTCTGTGATTGCCAACAAGGGTTTTGCCAGCAAGTACTAAGTCATGTTTTGCAGAGGAGTCAAATACTTATTTCCCTCATAAAAATGCAAATACATTTATAACATTTTTGACATGCGTTTTTCTGGATTTTTTTGTTGTCATTCTGTCTCTCACTGTTCAAATAAACCTATCATTAAAATTATAGACTGATCATGTCTTTGTCAGTGGGCAAACGTACAAAATCAGCAGGGGATCAAATACTTTTTTCCCTCACTGTATGTAACAACACAGTGAAACTTTGCTGTGATGTGCTGGATGGGTGGTGTGTACCAACACTGAGGCTTTATGCATCTCTCCCACAAACCGCACTGACTCATACAGACGATGGGTTGTGATGTGACAAAAATATATATTTCTTGAGTGATTCTAAGCTACCTGTCGAAAGACTGATATATTGATAACATTCTTTTGACGGACCATGAGCTTTTAATGTCAATGCCCATCTATTCAGAATTAATATTAAGTATTGTGCCATCTGCCAAACATACAGCAATGAATGAATATCACGGCCAACTGAACCTCTCATATAAGATTTTAGGGCAAATAAAGTATATTTTTCCACCAACACTGAATCTATAATAGGACGGTCTGACAGTCGGCAGTGTGAAGGCTGATTGTGGTGAGGTCCAGCAGGGCCTCTCTAAGTGTGAATGGATCTCCAGTGATACATGAAGACGGATATACTGTGTGGGAGGGTGGGAGGCAGCCCAGTCACACATACAGTGCCTTCAGAAAGTATTCACACCCCTTGACTTTTTCCACATTTTGTTGTGTTACAGCTTGAATTTGGAATGGATTAAATTGAGATTTTTGGTCACTGGCCTACACACAATACCCCATAATGTGAAAGTGGAATTATGTTTTAGACATTTTTACAAATTAATTAAGCTGAAATATCTTGAGTCA